CTGATAAAATGTAATGTAACCTTTCAAAGGATCACATATTTACTAACTCAGAAAGAGAACCATGAAAATAGCAGATAACAAATGTTTTTAAAAAGTGTTCTCTTTTTGTGATGAATATACATATACATATGCTCACAGAAAAAAGTCTGAATGGATAAGACACCCAGATGTTAACCATGATATTTCTGAGTGCTAGGATTACAGGGACTGTTTATTCTTCTGCTTACTTTTCAATATTCTCTGAAATTTTCCCAAGCAAAATACTTGTAAGCCAGCCGATAGCACGGTGGTTAAGGCAGGTGGATACCACATGGCCAAATGAACAGTTCAAGTCCTTGACCCTGAGGCTTGGAAAACACGCCAGGCACATGTGCATGCATGCCCAAAATCTTGAAAGGAGAATGAAGAAGGGACTGCAGTGTGGTGGTCCCTCCCCCAAGGCGTGCTTTCTGTGTTCTCATTTTCTGTATCTCCTTCTCCCTCAGCCCTGCCCCCAGCACTTTTGCCCTATAGCAATTAAAAAAAAAAAAATAGCATTTGTGGGCCAGCAGGTGGTGCAGTGGTTAAAGACACTGGATTCCCACTTGGTCAACTGTGGTTCTAGTCCCAGAGCTGGCAGATTGTTTTCTCACTTTCCCCTTCTCTCTCTCTTTCTGTCTCTGGTCAAATTTAAAAAAATAATAATAATAACAAGTGGAATTAAATAAATAAATAATTCTTTAAAAAATAATATTTGCAAAAATTAACCAAGTGTGATTTCATCTAACAAACCCCAAACTTTATACAAGAAAACTTGCAAAAAGTCTAAGGAATACACTAGCACAGAGCAAAAGAGAAAGTACTAGCAACATTGTAACTTGAATTCTCTATGAACTAGGCACCTCAGAGGACTCCAGAACTGCCATGGCACCATTAAGGAGGCCTACAGTACAGGGTTTCGAAGTCACAGGAGCTAGGTTCAAGTCTGCCACTTTTATTTTAAAACCCTGATCTAGTCACTAACCCTTTTCTAGGCTCACTTTATAAGAAGAAGTTACGACTTTGCTTTCCTATCACAAAGACTGTTGGAAAGATCAAACGTGTTAACGTTATAATCTGCAAATATATATATTTTTTTAAAAAAGAAAAATGCTTAATGCCCAAGCCAAATGCTTCAGAAAACACTGTAATCAATTCTTAAAGCAACAAATCAAATTTTTTGGTTTTTAAAGGCTACATGTCAACATAAACACCCAGTTTTTCTAACACTTAGATATTCCTTCCCAGTTCCCATTACAACCCTAAGCCATTACTTTCTTATCCCTAGTTTTCAGCAAGAAAGGGTACAAATTACACTGAAAAGCCTCAGCAAGAGCCCTGGAGCAGCGTGTCGACTGA